GGACCTGGTGGCTTACTTTCTCACTTTCTCTCTCTGTGTCTCTCTGTCTCTGTCTCTCTCTGGCCAAAATTAGAATAAATAAATAAATGAATGAATGTCTAAATAAAATTAATAATAAATAATTCTTTTTAAAATATATAATAATAATATTTTTAAAACAGCATGTATTTTGTAGAATGCATTTAAAATCTTCAAATGCACCAATCTACATATGAAAGCGAACACACTAGCTTAAATGTTTGTCACTAAAGGAAGATAGCCAGATTTTATAATCAGTTCTGAAAAGAATGGAAGTGTTTTTCATTTGGAGAAGGAGCTTAAAGTAAATGAGGTGAATAATATTTTTCTTCTGCTTCTACCAGGTGGCCAGTCGAGAACTGAACATCCCCCAGTCGTACATACACCTGTCTGAAACGAGCACGGTCACCGTGCCCAATGCTGTCTTCACGGCGGGGTCAATGGGGACAGACATCAATGGAAAGGCTGTGCAGGTGACTTTTCTTTCATTTCTCAGTGGCTCAGTGACACTGGGGGAAAGGATCTTGTCCCACCCCTTCTTTCATGGAAGATGAATCTAAGACCAAAAGTGATCAAATTCTAGTTTTCTCACCTAACGACTGGCGGAGCCCAGGCTCCCAGTCAAGTTTTCTGAGGTGCCTGGCTGGGCTCCTTTGGCTATTCCAGGCTGTTTGTCAGATTAATGTCTGTTGTATGTGAAAACCTGTATCTTTGACAACCTCATTTTGTCTTACATAAGAAAACCCCTCCCTTCTCTCATCCCAACACACCAGAGCAATATAGGGTAATCCCGTCATTGGCAGGGTGTCCTGTTTCCACAAAGGGCTTGGCCCAGTCAATTAACCTCTCCAAAAATCTTTTTTCTAGTTTAAAAAATTGGGAATAAAAATACCGCTGACAGGAAGCCAGCAGGCAGCATGATGATTAAAATGCTAGACTCCCACATGGCTGACTGCAGTTTGAGTCCCACACCTGGAGGCTTGCCTTCTCACTTTTTCTCTCCTTCTGTATGTCTCTCTCTGGTGAGCACCTATAGATAATTTTTGGGGCCCGCAGTTGGTGTAATGGCTATGTCGCTGGACTCCCATGTAGTTAGACTGCGGTGCAAGTTCCAGACCCAGTGACTTAAATTCATGCCAGGCATGTGTGTGTGCGTGTGTGCCCAAGATCTCGAGAGAATGGAGAAGAAGGGATTGCGGCATGGCCATCCCCCTCTGGGGGCTGATTTCTCACTTTCTGTCTCTCTGTCTCTGTCTGTCTTTCTGGCAAGTACACACGCCCTCTAGCAAAAACCTCTCCAAAAAAAAAAAAATAGATAATTTTTTTTTTCTTCTTTTGGAGAGGTTTTCACTATAGGGCGCATGTGCTCGCCAGACAGACAGAGAGAGACATAGAGACAGAAAGCGAGAAATCACCCCCAAGGGGGGATGGTCACGCCACAATCCCTTCTCTTCCATTCTCCTCTCGGGACCTTGGGCACGCACACTCATGCGCCCCACTTGAGTTTTAAGCCACCAAATCCAGGACTCGAACTGCGGTCAACTACATGGGAGTCCAGCGACATAGCCATTATGCTAACTGCTGGTTCTCAAAAATAGATAATTCTTTAAAAAAACAATAACACTCACCTTATAGCCTCATTGGGTGAATTACAGAGTTCATGCAATAAAGACACTACCACTATCTCCCTCCCCACTCACACACCTCTAGAAAACTACTGACTTGCTGTTAGTCACCCACAGAGACCATCTCCACAGAACGGCAAATACTTAGATGAAACGTAAAACTTTCAGCCTATCAAATGTGTTCATTTATTATGTAAAACTTGGCTTCCCAAAGCATGTCCCCTGGGATGGTCGTCCCATTAGATGCTCTGTGGAAATAAAAGAATTCTACAGTCAACCAGTCTGGAAAATGTAGCATGCTGCATCCTACTTATAGAGGCTTATAATACATATTAACATCTTAAAGCCTCTGGCAAATCCTGCAGTAAAGAAATTATTTAATTTTGTTTTACTCTATTTTCCCAAATTTATTTAACCATGAAAACATTTTAATATAGCCTCTCTTAACATGCTGTTGAACCAGTGCCCAAGAAAACAGTCTGAGGAAATGCTAATTTTGGTAAAATGTGTAGATGACTAAATCCATTTTTCACCTTTCATCCAGCTGCTAATTGCCTTGCAAGTGCGGCTGACAGAGACACCCAGTACACAACTAGGCATGGTCTCAGGCCTTGGAAAAGCGGGGACACACACACACAAAGGAAATAACAATACTATTGGAAAAAATGTTCGTATTTTTATGATGAACCATGATGGAAAGTTCTCATAATAAATTTGTGTGACTTCACTTCACACTGATTTCATTGACTCCAGCTGATCTGCTGTGCCAGATCCTGTCCTAAGTACCAGGGGTGTGGCAATAAGTTAAACAGGACAAAGTCCGAAGAGCCTTACCTCACAGAGTTTACAGTAGGTAGACAAGAATAAACACATCGAACTGTGACTTTCCGAGGGACATGACAGGAAACAGCTTCATTCTTTCCCCTACCGTGGTTCAAGTTCCTCCTGCGGGCTTCTTCTTTCTTCCCCCAAAATAAAATCCACCTATAATTTACTAAGTAGCCTAAGATAATCAATAGTCCTTTGATAACATTGATTCACAGAAACTATTTTATTTCAGTAATTAAGTCTAAACATCCCAAATGTACTTCTACTAAGCTACTGCCCAGCTCAGGACTGCAGGTAGAAATGGGATTTCAGGAGTGGGGGGGCGGGGAGTAGCTTCTCTCCATTTCCAACCTTGTGCTTTCTCCTGCTCTATGGAAGAGGTGAGAAGCAGAACACAGCTTACTTGGCTGGCATCAGTGTGATCTAGCTGTGTTATCTCTGACTCCTTCTCTTATGGATGTCATTGTGAGCTTCTGAGAGTTCCTTCTGGGCAACTCTGATTGGGCACTGCCTCTCCCATGGCCACTTGCAACCTGTCCTAGTCCCACCCTGAGCCCTAGGATATCTGCAATCTCTACTGAGACATCACACCTGTTGTAGGAAGCCCTCATAGAAAGGATGCTTTTCAAATCTAGAAATTATATTTGAGTCTGCAGGTAGCTGAAGAGTGGGAGAAATTGGGAGTTAGTGCTTTATAGGTATTTTTTCCTTTGAAGAAATCCCAAACATTACTCAGACTAAAGAAGCCCCACTTGACTATCTCTATTAGGGCTTGGTGGTTAAAGCAGCTGGATTTACATAGCCAACCACACAGTTTAAGTCCTGGGCCCAGTGACTTGAGAAACATACTACACAGTTTAAGTCCTGGGCCCAGAGAAACATACTGGGTATATGTGAATGTATGCCCAAGATCCTGAAAGGAGGGAGAGATGGAAGATACGGGATTGTAGTGTGATCATTCCCCATGGGAGGTGGGAGGAGAGGTTGTGCTTTCTCCTGTCTCTCTGGTGAGCACGCATATACCCTTTAGCAAAAATATATAAATAAATAAGAAGAAGAAAGTAAAGAAAAATGAAAAGAAAACAAACCCTCTTAGTCCAGAGGACTAAGAAGCAAGGCCACAAAATTAGCAGTCTATATTTGAATAGATTTAAATAGTTACCATTTTGGTATTCCCTGTGCCTTCTCTTTCTGATGTCATTTCAAATGTCTGTTTTCAGAATGCCTGCCAAATTCTCATGGCCCGTCTTCAGCCCATCATCAGGAAAAACCCTAAAGGAAAATGGGAGGACTGGGTGAGTGTTACCATCCCTGCCAGGAAAAGCAACTATGTCCAGAGGGCAACAGTCTCAAACACACAGGCTCATGGGTGCGCCCACCCAAGAAACAAGCATTTCCTAGCATTTTGGTATTTCCACTTTTTCATAAGGGTGAAAGAGATGTCCATGCTCATTGAAACCTAACTTTATTTTAGTGGCCGATTTCTCACAGAGCAGGATAATGAGTACTAACATTCAATACACCTAAAGTAGTGGGTTCCCACTCTGTCACTACCAGTCTGTGGGACTCGCTTTTCCCACCTTAGTCCATTCCGGCTGCTATAACAAGACCCAGAGGTTGGATGACTAGAAACCAACAGACACCAACAGACATTTATTTCTCATAGCTTTAGAGGCTGGAAATTCAGCAAATTTGGTGTTGGCAAGAGCTCATTCCTAGTTCATAGGTGCTGACTTCTCCCTGTGTGCTCACCAGGGCAGAAGGTGCCAAGGAACCTCTCTGGGTCTCTTCTATAAGATCACAAATTCATTCAAGAAGACTGTCCTCATGACCTCATCACTTCCCAAAGACCCCACCTCCTAAAGCCATCATGTTGGGGGTAGGATTTTAACATATGCATTTCAAGAGGACACAAACTTCAGACCATAGCACCCCCTCAGGGATTTGGTTTTCTCACCAGCACAGTGGAGATAATAATATTTCTAAGATCAAAGGATTACTCTATTTTAATAGTTACTTTTATTCCCCACCTTTGCCCAGTTTGCTCCAGCAGGAAAGCTGACAAATTCAATGCTGGAAAAGTTAAATCTTCTTGTGAACATATATACATAAAAGACTTTTACACAGACCTGTTGTATACACTTTTATACACACCTTTATACTTAGGTACATAAACGCATAAATATAACCTAGCCATCTCCCTAATTTAAAAGACCAGAAAGGGAGGTGCGTAGATGGCGTAGTGGTTACATCACTGGACTCCACATGGCTGACTGCGGTTCAAGTCCCAGACCCGGTGACTTGAAACTCAGGCCAAGCACATGTGTGTGTTTGCCTAAGGTTCCAAGAGGAGAATGGCAAATGCACGTTCCCTAAGGCAAAAACCTCTACTAAAAAATAAAAATAAGCCAAGAAGTGTGAAAAGCAGTACACTTTATACTGTTCAACCCTAAAAACCAGGGTCCGAGAGCACAGCTAGCAGCTACCTCTCAGCACCTCTCTTAAATAGTATGATCTGCAGCTTATACCCAGCAAAAGTCTCACTTGGGATAAATGTGGGCACAGAGCTTGGTGCAAACAAGAGGAGGCAAGCCCAGGAAACAAGGCACTTTTCATTCTTTTTCTCACACTTCTACTGTATTTCTTTGTAACTGATCATCTCTTTCAGGTTGCAAAAGCCTTCGAAGAATCCATCAGTCTATCCACTACTGGATATTTCAAGTAAAAAATGTTTTTACTTTGGCCGAAGTTACACCTAGCAAGGGTGATGTGCACTCCTCAGTCTGAACAGATGCCCACATAGTTCCAGAGCTCTGTAGTGCCCAGTGTTGACCCTTTAGTCATTGGACCATGGGATCATGGGATCATGGGCTGGGGAAGGAGACCTGGGAGAGGACCAGAGCCTCCTGGTATAGCAGCTGTTTACCAGCCAGGAGGCCACCGTCACTCTTCACGCACTCTGACCCATCCAGTAACTGCGCATCGAAGGGTGGGGTCGGACACCAGTTGATGTCCTTCCATGTCTGCAGTGGTCCTCTGGAAACTCTAATACCATGATCCCCTCTCAGAAGAAGGTGGGGGACCTCTAGCCACAGGGCGAGGAGCTGCCCACAGACCCAGTGGGGTATCCCTTCTGTTCTGTTGATCTCCAGACCCAGCTCAGCAGGTGTTGGATCACTAGTGGGGAAAATACCTTTTCTTTTCATTCTTGATTTCTCTTCTCAGAGGCTACCAGACGTACATGGACTGGGAGAAGGAGGAAGGTAATCCTTATCCGTATTTTGTTTATGGAGCAGCCTGTTCTGAGGTCGAAGTCGACTGTCTAACTGGGGCTCATAAGGTAGAGTGGCATTTGTATTCAATGTTGTCATAGTATAAACACGAGTACCAACATGTTTTCTATGCTGTAAAGAGTAACCAACTTGATCTTCCCAGTAGAAGAACCACAGATAGATATATACATTTAGGAAAAAATCTATTTTGAATGAATAATATTGTTTATTATTCATTTTCTCGTGGCGCAGCTCCTTAGGACCGACATCTTCATGGATGCTGCTTTCAGCATAAACCCAGCCCTGGATATTGGACAGGTGCGTGATTCCAGAACCACACCCACGGGGGCTTTTAGTTAATCCTATGTAACAGCTACTCATTCAGAATATTATTCTGCAGCATCCTCCACACTTTGTTCATTCCTAGTGCAAGTATTCTGCAACATGTATTACATATTACACAAACACACATATACATACACAAAGACATAGGTAAAATACTCAAAGAAAATTCAAGAAAACATTAACAATGGCTGTCTTGAGGCCAGCAGGTGGCATAGTGGTTAAGGCACTGGACTACCATGTGGCCCACTGTGGTCTGAGTCTTGGACTCACACTGAGTGCATATGCATCCATGCCAGAGAGGAAAATGGGAGAGAAAGGATTGTGGTGTGGCCATCCCCCCCAGGGAGTGTGGCAATTCTCACATTCTGTCTCTCTTGTCTCTCTTTTTCTCTCCAGTGAGCACATGTGCCTTATAGAAAATAATAATAATAATAAAATAAAATAAATCAAATGGTTGTCTTAGCATGGCAGGAACATATGTGATTTATTCTGTTTTATAATTCTCTGTGCCTTTTCATTTTTCTTTCCTTTCGTTTAGTTGTTAGAGAGCATATGCACTCACCAGAGAAACAGAGAGACAGAGATGGAGAGGGAGAAAGCACCTGCTAACAGGGCATGCTCATGCCGTAATCCCTTCTCCTTCATTTCTTCATCCTTTCAGGATTTGGGGCATGTGCCCAGCATGTTTTTCAAGCCACTGTGGTAGAACATGTGGTATCCGTCTCCTTTAAACAATAGGCTATGGGGCCAGCCCTCTAATTTTTCTGTAAGGAATGTTAATATGCTAATTCATAAAACATTATATAGGTACATAATAATAAAGTTAAAATACTAGTCATTGTATTTAAACAGACTGCACCATTTAGAGTAATTTAAGAGAAAAAAATTATTTTTTTCTTTTTTCTAAAGAATAATTTAATTTAATTTATTATTATCACTTTTTAATTTGACCAGAGAGAGAGAGAGAAGAAAAGTGAAAAAGCAAACTGCCAGCTCCAGGACTCAAACTATGGTTAACGATGTGGGAATCCAGCACCTTAACCACCATGCCACCTACTGGCCCAAAGAAAAAAAAATTCTGAAACACAATGTTCTCCATCTTGTTGCATTTAATTCTGATTTTTATCTCACAAATAAATAAAATTAACTGTAGTTAACTTGGTTTACCTAGCTAGCTTGACTGATGGGCTTCTTAAAGAATAATTTTGCATTTCTCAAAGTGAGGTACTCAGACTACAGCAGAACCACCTGTAGTACTTATTAGAATCATGGCCTCCTAGGACCAGCAGGTGGCATAATGGTTACATCACTGAACTTTCACATAATTGATCACAGCTTGAGTCCCGAACCTTAAGACTCACACTGGGCAAGTGTGTGGGGGTGTGCCGAAAATCCTGAGGGAAGAATGGAGGAGAAGGGCCACCCTCCCTGGAGAGTGATTTCTTGCTTTCTGTCTCTCTGGCAAGCACATGCACATAGGCTTAAAAAAAAAAAAAAAAAAAAAAAAAAAAAAAAAAAAAAAAAAAAAACAGATTCTTGAGGTGAGCCCAGATTTGCTCCATCGTAATGTGACTAAGCTGATATTCAGAATTTATACCCAAAATTGATCTTAAGTTTATGAAGTATGAGAACTACACCCAGACCCAGATCCTGCCTTTCCTGCCCTTTCCTTTCCCCTTCCTCTCAGCTAATTCTACTTCTTTATTGCTTAAGCAGAGGCAGAAAGGGAGTTGTTATGATGAGGAAAACATCATTTTGGTCCCACCAAAAAAGTCAAGAAATCAGAAGTATGTTAGATGGAATCTCTTAGGCTTTGATATTTTCTTTAGTGACAAGCATTATTCCTGAATCTAGTCATTAAATTTACTTATTATCTTATTTCTAAATTTCATATTTAAATAAAATGCAAACCATAACTGAAATTTTTATAACCTCCCTACTGACACCTCCTTTACTTTTTTAAAGGTTTTTGCCATAAGATGCATGCATTCACCAAAGAAATAGAGACAGTGAAAGGGAAAGTGAGGAGTTCCCTCCTGCCCCAAGAGGGATGCCCACACCACAATTCCTTCTCCTCCATTCTCCTTTTGGAATTTTGGGTATGCACACACACACACACACACACACACACACACACACACACAGTGTGATTTTCAAGTTGCTGGGCCTGGACTCAAAATGTGGTCAGTCATGACAGTCCAGTGCCTTAACCACCACATCCCCTGCTGACCTCTAGAAGCTTCCTTTAAAAGGGACCTTTTTCTTAGAGCATAATGGTTTATAAACAGAACTCAACATGGTTTTTCATAAATATAGTCATTTCTTCCAACCTACCCTGTTTATGCCATTGATCCACTCTCTCCATAGTAATTTTAAGAGGAAATAAAGAAATCCAAATACAATAAACTACAGTATCCTGGATCCATTTATTCTAGTTCATGTTCCTTTAATGTTAGCTTCTTTTTCATTTCCTTCAACAGACATTTACAGAGAATAGAATTTACCAGGCACCAGGCTGAGACCAGAATAAAAAAATAAAAAAAAAAAAAAAGCCAGGCATCAGATGCTTATAAACTAGCAAAAGTGAGAGTGAGATGGGATCAAGAGAACAAGAATGAAAGAGTGGAGAACTAAATACCCTCCAAGCACTGCCACAACGAGGAGTGTGGTCGCATTACAGTAAAGCTGGAAGAAACAGCTCCTAGATCCACCTGTGGGAGGATCCAAAAGGCTCCAGAGAGGCAGTTATTCTTTAGCTGGAACATGGAGATGAGTAAGAGTTTGCCAAGTAGACAAGGTTGGAAGGGATGAAGCAAGTCAGGAGAAACTGCATTTACAGAGACTTGCAAGAAAGAAAGAACCTGATGGGTTTGGAGAATTACTAGAAACTTAACAAATGTCAGGCACCTGGAATGTGGAGTACCTGAGGATGAGCCAGGCAATGTGGCCCTCACCAGTTTGTACAGCACCTTTTGCAAAGCCCAATGAGATGGTTTCAAGAATAGCATGCTATGATTCAGAACTCCATTTTCATTCACACTGTAATACTTATTCAACCAATATCAAATGCTTATAACCTGTGAATTTTCTATCTATAGATTGAGGGAGCATTTATCCAAGGCATGGGATTATATACCATAGAAGAATTGAAATACTCCCCAGAGGGTGTACTTTATTCTCGGAGTCCAGATGACTACAAAATCCCCACTGTCACTGAGATACCAGAAGAGTTCTATGTCACTCTGGTGCGTTCCAGAAATCCCATTGCCATCTATTCCTCCAAGGTAAGAACTTAAGATTCTTTACTAGTTGACTAGATTTGCCATAACAAAATACAGCAGTTCTGGAAGCTGGAAGTCCAACAACAAAGTACTGGCAAGCTGGTTTCTTCCAAGGCCTCTCTCCTTAGATTGTAGATGTCATCTTCTTCTTGTCTCTTCACATGGTGTTTCCTCTGTGTGTCTGAATTTCCCCTTCCTAGTGTCTTCACATGGTATTTCCTCTGTGTGTCTGAATTTCCCCTTCCTATAAGGACACCAGGCTTATTGGCTTACCAACCATTCTAATCACCCCACTTCAATTTAACTCCCTCTTTAAAGACTTTGTTTCCAAATGCAGTCCATTTAAAGTGACTAGAGTCAGGAATTCAACCATATTAGCTTCTTCTTTCAAGAAATCAAAAATAAACCCCCGAATCTGTTCACTCCTTTGAATTGAAAATCCCAAAAGAAGGAGAAAAGAACAGCAAGCTTGTGGCTGAGTGGCTCTCACTGACTCCAAAAGCTTACTAGGGTCTCCACTCTTGAGAGGGATCATGGAACAAATTTAAGCCAAGAAAGAAGGTCTCAGGAGGGGCTGATCATCTTGACTCCTCAGGCTATGTCACCATGAGGTAAACTAAGGTTGTGGGCAGATTTCACCAGCCCAGAACTCTCTTTTAACCCCTTCCTCACCTCAGAATGGGTGTTCAGCCAGGTTTCTTGGTGACTTCCTGCTTTGAGGTCTTACTAGCCACTGATCTCTGAAGTGTTGGTTCCATGTCCCAAGAGCACATGAACTTTAACTGGCCCACAAACACCTACAAGCAAGGGTTCTCAAATACAAGTGTGCAAAAAACACTTTCCTCTTTAAGCTCTATCCTGAGCCCACATCTGGCTAGGCAGGTGGCAATTTTTTTTTTTAACTTTATTTCATTTATTTATTTATTTATTTTAATTTGACCAGAGAGGAACAGAGTGATAGAGAGAGAGAGAAAGTGAGAAAGCAAGCTGCCAGGTCCAGGATTTGAACCATGGTTGGCTATGTGGGAGACCAGCGCCCTTAACCACCATGCCACCTGCTGGGGCCGGCAGATGGCAATTTCAACCTCAGATTTTCAGGGGATTCTTTCTCTTTCCTAGATGTAGGTCAAGTTTGGGGAGAAAGCCAGATTTCCTGCCTGAACAGCCTCTATCTTCACTTTTGCACCAGAACTTGGCCAGGAGCATTTCTAAAGGCTGGCCCAGCACAGGGCATGATCTGCCACTCAGGTTTCAGCTACTTCCCTGCCAATTTTGCTCCAAATAGGGCTCAAATCTGCGTTCTTTCTGGCTGAGGAACCCTTCCCCTTCCAGCCTCCCTTCTTATTCAGTCTTTGCCTCAGAGTAACCCAGGCTCTCGACAGTGAAAGCCTTTATCAGCTTCAGGCCTTAGTCCCATCCCCCCACCAAGGCCCTGGACACAGACCACAGACCAGACTACCTTGAAGGAAGAAGGAAATGTCAGTAGAAAATAAAACAGCAGTGAAGTACTCAACATGCAATGGCACCACCCTGTTAACTCAGAGCCATCCAGCACATGCCAAAGAATGGAAAAGAACACATGAAAGAAGCAACCACCTCACTGTCTTCCAAGTTCAACTGCAGACTGTGGTTATTTTGTTTGGGTTTTGAATTAAACACAAGGGGTCTGGAGCTGGAGTTGGAGTGTCTAAAGAGCACTGAAGGCGTTGGTTTTCAGTGGTTTACCCCACTGCAGGATCAAGAGTTTTTAGCTGCCCTAGTATCCTGAGGTTCTGGGCATTTTCATGTGCTTCTCTCAGGAAGATCCCCACACAAATTGCTGTGGGAGAATTCGACTGTGGCAATTCAGAAACTCTATTCTGGAGTGATAAAGGTAGAACAGGTGAGCACATGAAGGGGAGAGAGATGTTAGCCCAAAGGAACCATGCATTTCTTCTATTTTTTTTTTTTTAACTAAAGCAGTTGACCATTTTATTTTCACATTTCACAATACAAATGAAAACTACACTTAGAACCATGCGTTTCTGATGGCCTTTTGTGCTTTTCTCAGGGACTAGGAGAGGCCGGAATGTTCTTGGGGACCTCCGTGTTTTTTGCCATATATGATGCAGTGTCTGCTGCCCGCAGAGAGAGGGGACTGACGAAGACCTTCACCTTCAATAGTCCAGCAACTCCTGAATTGATTCGGATGACTTGTGTGGATCAGTTTACTGACATGGTAAGGGAGGTCCCTGTTGTAATCAGCCCATACAGGGACTTTGGGGTTCTATATGTGAATGTGTTAACCATGACAAAATTGTAGGACAGGTTCATTTTCAATGAAAATTCTCATTTTGCCTCCATTTGCCACTTTCTATATGCTTCAAAGAAACTGGAAAGTAAGTGAACCTTTCAAATGATGGTTTAATAGTCAGACACAAAATAAAAGTATACTCAGTTAAACCAGTGTTAAAAGCAAATGGACATGGAAGTTTGCTTCTTTAAGCCTTTTATCAAAATGCAGCTGATGTGGCATTTTGATCACTTCAATAACCAAATTATATCAACTAGATAATCTGATGTGGTCAATTATGCAGAAAGTATTTGTAAAGAGAAATTAATAAAAAAACAATTTAAGTGAAAATACCAAGTCACTGGGCACACCTGGATATGCCTTGTCACACACTAAGAGAATACAATTCCATTTTCCAGTTGCTAAAAATATATCTGAGACTACCACCAGAGAGTATTCCTCTATTGAACTGCTTACTGAAGCCCTAAATGAGTCTTGGATTTAAAACTAGATTGCACTGTATGCCTTGGAAATTACAGGGCTTCTGAGTAAGATGCATCTTATCCCAAACTTAAGAAATGTATAAGGAAAAGGAAATTTATGACTCAAGTATTCAAATATAAAAATTATATAATTTTGATAAGCATAAAATAGACATCGATGTGTTCTTTTTTAAAATAATTATTTGTTTATTTTAATTTGACAGAAAGGGACAGAGAGAGAGAGAGAGAGAAAGCAAGCTACCGGGTTTGGGACTTGAACCACGGTCAGCCGTGTGGGAGTCCAGCACCCTTAACCACCACACCACCTGCTGGCCCCTGATGTGTTCTTTTTTATAAAGCATAATTTGTCTTTTGAATTACAACATTTTTCATGTCTTAACATTTTATTAACAACTATCTTCTTTCTTTGATTATTTTTTAGATTCCCAGAGATGACCCTTCGACATTTACACCTTGGTCCATCCATGTGTCTTAATCCTGTGTTTTCTAAAAAACAACAACAACAACAAAAATGAAAGGCTGTGTGATTGACCCTAAAAGTCTCACACCAGAGCAAAACATAGGTTGGCTCCTAATTGTCAAAAAATATTTAGCATTTTATAATTATTCTCTATGGCTTAGGTAACTATACAATTATGTTTTAGTATGCAGATTTTCAGCAAAAAGTACAAATAAGCTTAGAATCAAAAATTCTAATTTTAGTTTGCATAATCCTAAAAATCTATTATCATCCATGATTTTAAAATATGGTGGAATTTTCATTCATCTGGAACAACTCAAGAAAGACTGCTCATGCTTTATTCTTCAGAAATCTGATCAAAGTTCAGTAACACTGTCTACCTTCAAAATTCTCAGGATTAGATTACCTCAACACCAATTATGTGCTGGTAATAACCAGTTCACCTAGAAAAATCTCTGCTTTGTAATGTTTGCCCGTTTCCATGGTGTAAATACTCCCACCTTAGACAATTCCAAGTCACTTACATGAAAAATACAAAAGTGGAGTTGGAAAGAAATGCTCTTTATCAGCTCTTGAGAGCGGGTAAGAGCTACCTCTAGCACTGCAGCCTACCTCAGTCTTCAATTTCTGCCTCTTCCATAGGGTCCGTTTAGAAGAAGCTTTGGGGAGTAACCTTCCAAAGCCTTCAACTGGTCTTCAATTGCAGGAGCCATATAAATACATGGTACAATGTCTTGCTCACCTGGAAGCTCACACTGAGTAAAACTATGATATCAAATCACCATTGAGCCCCTTGTTTACCTAGTGTCTAACTGGTATCACACCACCAACTTCCTTTTGTCATCAAAGGGGAACAAAATCTTCAGGGTTCATTTTTTGTTATTTCTTTGCTATTTTACATTGCATTTTCCTGGAGAAATACGATCTTATGCCCAAGAAGATGTTTTATGAAAAAGGTTTGAAAACACAAATTTAAAAATTAAATCACTTGTCAGGGATCTGTTTTCTAAATATTAAAGCTCACATTTACTAATGGTAATTTTATGGTGGGAGATAAGTGTAATCTAGTTTGTTTATATTTGTGTGTGACCAGTTTACAAGCAAAGAAGGGTGCTGATGAAAAAGAAAGATTTCTTTCCAAAGAAAAGACTAAGCAGACAATGTCTCATGTACTAATAGAAGCATGGGCATGAGTGAGAGGGTGTGAGTATGTATACATGTTTCTTTAAGTGTCTGCTTGAATTCACCCAATTATATAGATTTCCTAGAACTTAATTCATTGAACCTTATTGTGCCAGATGGAACAATGAAAATAGTCATTGGTATATTTTCCTAGCAGTAAATAGAAATACACATTTGCCACAAACTAGTTATGAAAGTGTTATACTTCCTAGGCTATGGGGCAAAGTTTTTGATAACACAGAAGTTGAACTTTTACAAAAATAATTTTGATAATTTCAGCAATATTTCATTAACTCAAAGAATTGAGATAGAAGAAGTATTTACAAAAACTTTACACTTCAAAGGGCAGCAGGTTTCAAAGACTAATGTCCTAACACCTCTATAAACTAAGTTGACACTGTCCTTCTTTCATAGTCTGACTTTCCTTACTTAGCATTATAAATCTTCCATATTCATCTACTGTGTATCAACTGTCAGTGCCTCTTTTTTTTTATGGCTGAGTTGTATTCCATTGTGTACATATGTCATATTTTTTCAATCCAGTCATCTGTTCTTGAGCATTTGGGCTGATTCCATGTCTTAGTAATTGTGAATAATGTTGCAATAAACATTGGATGTGCAAGTGTTTTTCCACCTGAGTGTTTTCCTATCCTTTGGGTAGATACCCTGGAAGGGAATTACTGGGTCATACAGTAGTTCTGTTCGTACGTTTTTGAGGAACCTCCATGCTGTTCTCCATAGTGGCTGTACTACTTTACGTTCCCACTAATAGCATAGGAGGGTGCCCTTTTCACTGCAGCCTTGCCAGTACTTGTCATTCTTTATTTTTTTAATCTTAGTCATTCTGATTGGAGTTAAGTGGTATCTCATAGTGGTTTTGATTTACACCTCCCTTATGATAAGAGATGTTGAGCATTTTTTCATTTGGTTTTTGACCATTTGTATATCTTCCTTAGAGACATGTTTGTTCAGCTCATTTGCCCATTTTTAATTGGATTGATTACTTTTTTTGTGGGTACGCTGCCTTGGTTCCCTGTATATTCTGGTTATCAGTCCCTTATCTGAGGCATAGTTTGAAAATATAGGAGCCTGCAGATGGCATGGTAGTTAAAGGCCCTGGACTCTCGTATGGCTGACCACAGTTCAAGTCCTGGACCTGGAAGCTTGCTCTCTCTCTCTCTCTGGTCAAATTAAAAACAGTAATAATGATAAATAAAATAAAGGGAATAATTCTTTTAGAAAAAGAAAAAGAATATATACTCTCCCACTCTGAGGGTTGTCTCCTTGCTCTAATTACTGTTTCTTTTGCTGTACCTTAACTACCACGCCACCTGCTGGCCCCTACAGAGGGTATCTTTGAGATGGGTAGCCCACTCTTCTCTGAAGCTTCTCTGCCAAGAGACATTTACTTTGTTTTTTCTTTCTCCATTTCTATTCAGCTCACTCCTGAAAGAATGCTTAGGGTATTATTAGGGTATTCAATTGCTCTACAGATATGCCATTGCACTATAACCAAGTAGTCTATGATACTGTTTCCTAGACTTGAGAAAGCATTTGCCCTATTAATTGAATCCCCATTATGACATGACTCTTTTTAACATTTATATTGCACATTCCCCAATAGCTTGCCCTTTAGACTTACCTTACTCATTTCCTTTCTTATCTGAGGTTTTCAGTGTTTTGTTTCTTGTTTTTGTCTGATTTCATCCCTCAGATGAGGTGGACTTGTATCCCCAAGGGAGGAAGGTATTTTGCTCCATTTTATAGGGTCTCAAGTTGCCCTTCTTTTCTCTCAGCATCCAGCAGACGCTAGCCTATTGCCCTCTAGTGTCTGCTGTGACAACCGAGAAGTTGGATGACAAGTTGGTTCTTTTTCCTTCACAAAAATCTTGATCTCTCAGCCTAGTACCTTGCAAAATAGCTCACTTGTCCTTGGTATTCGAAATTGGTATCGGATGACACTAGGTGGGTGTCCTTTTCCTTAAGTCCTGGACCTTGAAGAGCATTTCAGTCCCTAGACTCAGATCACTCTTCGGCTCAGAGAAAATTTCTTCTAGTGTTTAGTGATTGCAACTCCTGTATCCCTCTTTCTTCTTTGGTCATCCTATTCATGATTGAGGTCTCTTGCATTTAGGTTTTAAGTTTCTAAATTACCCTTCACATACCCTTTATGTCTTTGCTCTGTGCTGAGTGAGCTATATTTATATAGCTATATTTATTTATTATACTTTGTTTTCCATGTCACTAATTCGTATTTCAATCATGATCATCTTCATCTAATGATCGTTTTCAACCAGATCATCTTCATCTGGTCTGTTTGATGTCCAGAAAGACTTTTTGAAGGATGTAGTTTAATGGCCTTCTTTGATCTGCATATATATTTTTTTTTTTGAGAGGTTTTTGCTATAGGGCACGTGCGCTCACCAGAAAAACAGAGAGACAGAGAGACAGAAAGCGAGAAATCACCCCCCCAGGGGGCATGACCACACTGCAATCCCTTCTCCTCCATTCTCCTCTTGGGATCTTGGGCACACACGCCTGGCATTGAGTTTAAGCCACTGGGTCTGGGACTCGAACTGCAGTCGACTACATGGGAGTCCAGTGACATAGCCATTATACTAATGTTGGTCCCTTTGATCTTCATATTGATAACTGTTTCCTCCAACAACTCTCTCACTTGGATGTGTATCTATTCTGAATGATCTTCTTCTCTCTGGCTCTTGGGTCTATTTGTTTCCCAGAGCTTCCCTAATAATGCACCATACACTCTCTGGCTTAAGACAACAGAAAGATACTCTCTCTGGAGTATCTGCAACTTATCCGTTGCCACAGCAGACACTAGAGGACAATAGGCTAATGTCTGCTGGATGCCAAGAGAAAAGAAGGACAACCTGAGACCCTATAAAATGGAGTCCAGAAATCTGAAATCAAAGTGTCATCAGGGTCTATGAGAAAAGATCCTCCCTTCCCTGTTCCTAGCTTGTGTTAGTAGTCAGCAATCCTTGGCATTTCATGACTTGTAGATACATCGTTTCAGTCTCTGCCTCCATCTTCACATGGCCATCTTCCCTCCACTTAGGTCTGTTTCTAAATCTCCCTATACTTATAAGACACCAATCATGGGATGAAATAGCCATCCTAATCCAATGTGTCTTCATCTTAACTTGATTATATTTATAAATACTTAATTCCAAATAAGATCACAATGGGGAATAGAGTTCAACCTACCACAGCCACATGATCCCCTCAATTTTCTTTTAATTTGTCAGCTTGCTGTTTATTGGAGCAACCCAAGAAACATCAGCCACAGACTACAAAGATAGAGTGCTCCTGATCCACTCTCCATGGGCTGTCAGGATTAAGCAGGAAAGCTACTAGAACCTGCTGAATCAAGTGGAGGAAGCCTCTCAACCTTATGTCTCTCCTGACTCCTCGATCTCACTCAGACTCAGGGGTAGGGGTAGGAGGGACTTGGACAACCCGTCAGTCCAGACCTCTATACACACCACCAGTAAGCTTTCTATGTACCACACACACACCTCAAGGACAAAACTTTCCCCCAGATTTTCAGTTTCCAGGGTACTGTCTCCAAGTCTCTCCCACCTGAGAGGGAGAAAGTGCCCTCCTTCTCCCACAATACACAAGGTTCAAGGCCTTGCTGCACCTAGCTCCCCATGAGGCCAGCAACTGACTGGTCCAGCAGAGGCAGAAAGATCAGAGTTGGGAGGAAAAAGTAAGGGATCTCCAGTAAGAAAAGATAAAAACAAAAGGTCTGGAACGTGAATATTTAATGACCAATCCAAGCTCTCAGTGTCCTAAACATCACCCCACTA